CTGGCATTGCTACACTTGTGGGCAGGGGCGTGGCCTGCAAATTCGAGCCCTATAGAAAAGTTTTTCAAGAGGGCCCCCTAATGGAAAAGTGAAGAGGAGGGGGGAGGTTGTTTTGCAGAAGATGAGGTAAGCGATCTCCGAGGTGGGGGGTTGTCGAAGACATTGCGCCCTATCATAAACCCTGCGCAATGTGGCACAGGCGCGACGCAATTGTTGTTTGCTAGTTTCAGCTTGACGCGAGAGTCGTTTTGATGTTTTGCATCATGCTGTTTAAATAGCAAAGGCATTTGCACTCATATGTGCGCCCATAGGCGTTCTGGTCTAAAAAAAAGGAGGTGTGTTGCTACTTTGAGGAACTTAAAGAGAAGGTTCAATAGACCAGATCAAAGCCGGTCTATAGTCGAGCACAGAGCGTGTTAGTTGTGCGCCTCACTGACACACTGCTTAATACACACAGGATGTACAGCAATACGCAAATATCTTTACAAATGAGAAAGAATTAAAGGAATAAAATATTACAAAAATATTCTTTTCTAGCCTAAATAAATATGAAAACCATACTTTCTTCAATTTGGGGGGCTTTTTCAGTTTATTCATAACAGTTTGCTCTTGTATAATGTTATTATTTTTAGTAGTAGTGTTTATTATATCCATATTTATATTTGTTTTATTAAAAAAACAAGCTTAGATTTGCCCACCTGTCAGGTTTTAGACCATATGGGGCACATCAAGTGTATTAGGATATAACTCAGTGTTTTGACCACACTTCGTTATTATTGTTCATTTATTCGTTTGCTGGAAATTAGAACTGAATTCAGAAATAGGTTTAAAAAAATCTTTGTGCTTAACAAACGAAATTAATTATGTAGGCTAATGGATGTCTGTGCGTACAAGGTTTCCCTATCCACGAAAGTGAAAGTGAAAATAAATGATGAGAAGGCTCATCTCTCATTCTCGTCCTGTAGATGCTCTGTTTAACTGTTTTCTTACTATTGAATTGCTCAGTTTTTCCACTTACAAAGTCCATCGTGTAAATAGCAAATACGCTATGGTGCGACGCAACTGACTCTTAAAGGGAATGGGAGATGAAACTCTGATTGGTTTATTTTCAAAACACACCTGGGTGTGACTAGGGACAAGTAGTATTTTTAATACACGTGTTTAAAATGCTTATTTTTAAATACAAAATAGTATTCAGTAATTTGTCTTTGAGGTTGATAAAAATGGGTTTATATTTTGTATCAAAAAACTTTAGTGTCTTGTATTTTTGTATTGTAAAATATTTTGTAAGAAGTATGATCATGACATGATAAAAACAGGGCTTTAGATTGGTGCTTGCACAGTTATTTGCCTAGCCTTGAGATCTGAACAGAAAATTGATTAAAAAGGTGGTTAATGCTTGGAGTATGGATGGAAATTATGCATCACACGTAAAGGGTTCAATTTTAATGATCTAGGTGCAGAGTCTAAATTGCATGGCGCAAAAGCATTAAGGGCGTGTCAGAATCCACTTTTGCTATTTTAAGAATGGAAACATTTGGTTTGCACCACGGCGCATGGTCTTACAGGTTTGTGCTTATTCTCTTGTTCCTCAAAATAGCAACGCTCCAACAATGCGCCTTAACACACCACCTTTATAGACCAGCCCACCCATGAGTCCTTACAGTGGCACAAATGGATTTACTATTTAAACTATGTGGCACAAAACAGAAAAATTAAGGTTGCACTAGTCTGAAAATAGCAACACATCGCGGCAAACACATCTTGCGTCTTATTGCGCCAGGTGTATGATAGGGCCCAAAGAAAATAACTGACAAATGTCATGGGTAGATCTGGGAACAACTCACTAAAACAATCATTAAAAATATTATACTGCACAGTGCTAAGACCAGTTATATGTACTGGCAGTTTTTATTAATTTGGGATTAGCATCTTTCTTTGCTTAGGGAATTAGATGGACTTAAATATCAGTCCTTAAGAACAGAATGTGGAGCCTTCAGCACATAATCATTGTCAGTCTCAGTGCTGCAGGTGGAAATGCAGAGGAACTTTAGAAATATAAAACAACTAAAGACTGTGTACTGGTGTTCACTAAGAGGGTAAACGGACTCTCTTGGAATAATGAGTATACTGTACAAATAATTGTAGTTTTAGATGGATTGCGGACGTAGATGCCAAGAAAATAAGACAAACAACACACAAATAAGTCTTACAGTGGCGATTCTTATGATAGATAGTTTCAAATGCCAGTAGATGATCTGCAGATACAGTATACAGTTAAAGAAGAGATGTCAAAATGGCACAATACAGTACATGAGACACAAATATTTAATAATACTCCAGTCTATACGGCAGCAGCAGGATATATATTTGGAAAAAGTGATTAAAAAAAAACTTAATTATTTTTTGAGATTTCATGTTTCATGTTTATCATGTTGTGTGTTAAAGAGTATTGCAAAAATATGATTTATGGAAATTTTTAATACTAGAGATTTGAGTAGTTTTCAGACATGTTCTACATTAGGTATTGACGATTTCAATTGCAAACAAATCTACATTTGTTGAACAAAAATAAATAATATAGCATCTTCATATATCACCCTTTAAAGTATAAGACTGTTAAGAGATGGTTGGAGTTTTATTGGCCACACAATGGATGGAAACGCATTAAAGATATATAGTACTATATTCCAAGTCATTATCTGCATTGCATGGTTTTTACAGTGATTAAAGAGAACACCTTCAAGACAGGACTTTCCGTATGAAATTTGTACAAAATGTATGCTAAAAACAAAGAGAAATTCAGTTTAATGGTGAAGGGATTGATCGAATATGCCTATTGAAAAAATTTGATGCTTCTATGTAAAAGTATTGTGTAGTATTTTTAAAATACAGTATTTCATTTTAATACACTTATGGCTGCTGTATTTTGTAGTTTATTTTTTTACATGTAAAATTGAGGTATTTTGTATTTTATTTTAAGTGAAGTTTATTTATAAACTAATTTCAAGAGGATCGCGTGTTTTTGATTGAACACGGCTGGTTCTGCATTAGCTATGTATGATCCACCAATCAGGCCAGTCCTAACCCACTATAAAGAGCCAGGGTTTCTTACTACAGCCATCTTCAATTTGAAGAATCCCCCCTTCCACCCCTACCTTTCCCTTCATAGGGCGGCATGGTGGCCCAGTGGTTAGCACTGTTGCCTGACAGCAAGAATGTCACCGGTGCTAGTCTTTTAACAGGCCGGTGGTCGTTTCTGTGCGTAGTTTGCATGTTCTTCCTGCGCTCATGTGGGTTTTCCCCGGGTTCTCCGGTTTCCTCCCACATTCCAAAAACATGCACTGCAAGTGAATTGATCAATCTAAATTTAGCACTATAGTCAAACTCTCATCCTGCAGCATATCTCTTCATAGCATTCATTTTAGTCATCAGCTCTTATGAAGGGGGAGTTGTCAAGATCTACCTGAGCTCAAAGCTCCCCTTTTGCCCTGTAAATGGGATGGAGCCCAGGGCTCAAGGACCTTTTGGGCTTAGGGCTCTCTCTTGGAACACCATACCAAACTTGCTTATAATCAATCATCAGCTAAGTGTGAACTCTTGAAAAGACATTTCAATATATTTTTGCCCATCCCTGGGGATGATATTTGCAATCTCCAAAGTAAATGGAATCTCTGGGCCACCCCACAACCCATCGTTGGGCCCCTAAATTGCCAGAGCCCTATGCACTCTGCCACCCTTTTCCCCCCACTTACTACGCCCCTGCTTATGGGGACTTTTGGTCCCCACAGTGTGATGAATACCAAGACCACACACGCATTATAAAAAAGCCACCTCAACACTTGGTTAGAGGTGTAATTGTTGTCTGACTGTGTGTGACGGACATTTCTGATCATCTCCCACCGTTGACAAAACCAGGACAGAATCATACAACTAGAGCAACGATTTTCTCAGGTAAGAAAACAGTCAATATAACACTTCTGTCATTGAAAGTTGAAGTATTTCTTCAAACAATTATGCTATCCCACCAAGCTATTATGTGTTTAACAGACATCTAGTAGACATCTTGGCTACACTCAAAAAAATTACTTTTACTGTTTGTTCAAACTATTTATTTAAAATGAGTTGAAACAATTCTTGCATTTTTTTTGAACAACTTAAATGTTTTAAATGCTCTGTCCACTTAAGTTAACTAAATTGATTCATGTTGAGTCATGTTGTGTGGAAGGCTGGAAGCCAACATTTTCTTACAGTGGCTTTCTTAAAGGGGCAAAATTTGAATTTGAATTTCAAAATCAAAGGTTAGTCCAAAACTAGACTAATTATCAAATAAACAGGAATGATTGACTATACAGGTTAAGTCTGTCTAATCTGTGTATTTGATGAGTAGTCTACATTTGGACTATTGTTAGACATCTATTAGATGTCTAACAATAAATTAGAGGACCAAATTTAGCTAATTTATTTTGTTTTATTCATGTTTATGGCACGGTGGCTCATTGGTTAGCACTGCCACCTCACAGCATGAAGGTCACTGGTTCATGTCCTGGTTGGGCCAGCTGGCATTTCTGTGTGGAGTTTGAATGTTCTGTTGGAGTGGGTTTTTTATGGGTGCACTGCTTTCCCCCACAGTCCAAACATATGCGCTATAGGGGAATTGCTAAATTGGCCGTAGTGTATGAGTGTGTGTGAATGCAAGAGTGTATGGGTGTTTCTTAGTACTGGGTTGTAACTGGAAGAGGATCTGCCGCGTAAAACATATGCTGGAATAGTTGGTGGTTCTGGCGACCCCTAATAAATAAGTGACTAAGCAGAAGGAAAATCAACGAATGAATGTCTGTTTAGACATCTATTATACATCTATTAGGCATCTACTTAAGATTAAACAAATACAATTCTTGCTGAGATGTGTCAGGAAATACTGTATGAATAATAGAAATATTCCTGTTGTGTTTTTATTGTTTCATGGTCTTAACTATGTCTAGATGATCTGAGGAGTTCAGACTGAATCAAGATGCTGGTGATCATTGAAGCTCTTCTCCTCATCTTAGCAGCTCTAGAACAGGTGAGCTTGTGTTTTAGGATGAATGTTAAGAACATATTTACTGATCTAGTGATTTTTACGATTGCTGTTTCTGCAGGATCACACAGCCACTGCTGTAGATCTGATATTTCCATTGGATATGGCACCAAATTCTGTTGATGACCAATATAAAGGCTGTAGAGACAAAATGGCAAATCTGGTAAAAACCAAATACCTGGAGAAGGAAATGAGCAACTTGAAAGAATTTAGAACAGCTTGGGAAAAAGGGGAAAAATTAGCCAAGAACCAAGCTGATAGCTTGACGAGAAATAATGTAATCGCCATTTATGTCTACACTGATGATGGTGTATATCGTCATTTCAATTCTGACACTCGCTGTGATAAAATCAAGTACAGACAAAGGGAATACAAGTGGTATTCACTTCACTTTCTGTTGACTGAAGCGATTCAGGTTTTGAAGAAAACGCAAAAGAAATGCTTTTCAACTTTTCGCGGAACTGAAATTGAATTTAACAAAAATGTGTTGAACACAAAAGTTCGTTTTGGTTCGTTTGTGTCATCGTCTCTCGATCGTAAAAAAGCATCATATTTCGGAAAAGTATCATGCTTTGAAATCAGAACTTGTAAAGGTGCAGAGGTCACAGAATATTCAAAGCTTCGGCATGAGAAAGAGGTGTTGATTCCTCCATATGAGGTTTTTAAAGTCACTGCTGTCAGGATCAGAGAAGATCAGAAGGATCTCTGGTGTAACACTGTGTTCACTTTAAAACCCTCTGGGAAAAAAAGTGAGCTGGACTGTGCTCTGTTCAAGAAATCAAACAAGACTGTAGCTAAATACAATGTCATACACTGATTTTCAGCATAAATCAATATAGCAATGGGGTATATGCACAGCAAGTGTTTAATCACAGATAAACTTACAGTGAAAATGTGACTATTTTCAATTTAATAAAGTTCTCTTTACAGCATCAATAATGTAATTTTAATTAAAATACAATCAGTCAAATAGACTTTCCTCTATTGGAATTATTGTTGTAAATTGTTATATTTTAAAGATGTGGGCGCCAAACAATGATATTTAATTTAGTGCTTCTTGTCCAGTCTGAGACCAACTTTATATCGTATCCCAATTAGGCAGTGAAGGTCATTGATTTTCTAAAGAAACCAGAAGTCAAATGTGGTGAGTTTTTCCCCTTACTGATAAACTTCCGGTGACCGGTGAGTTTTTTCCCATCTTATACTATTCCTTTTACAGCATCGAAGTTGCAATGTCATTAAAATACAATCAGTTAAACAGGCTTTGGCATTCATTTAGTTGCTCAAGCGTAAAACTAGACAAAAAGCCGTTTACTCGCATGCGCCCGTCAGAATCGGCAGGCGAGCGCAGAAGCTCCATTGAATATACTGAGGTAAAATAAATGTTCATATTATAAAAACATGGCGGGGAAAATGTAATGTAATGCAGTGCTACTTGTACAATCTGAGACCCACTTTATATCACTCAGCCAGTGGAGATCGCTGAATTTTAAAGCAAACAGACCTTAAACGAGACAATTTTAAATTGGCATATAATTAACCGGAAACGATTAACCCAGGTTACTGGCAAATTAAAAGTCCTATTAGCATGATTCGTGATATACCCTATTGCGATTTGTGCGATTGTGATTTGATTTGCGATTTAATTTTGTAGTCAAGCTTTAGCTCAATATTCATATCTTCTTACAGCTAAATGCAGTGTGTGTTAGTTAAAAAAAAACTGAACAAATATTAACTTGCTTGAGCATTTATTCAAATTTGTTTATAAAAAAAAATTAAACACATTTTTCTCTAGAGCAAAAAGTAAGCACAAATAAAATGACCTTATCTTTCTGTAAACAAATTAAACTCAAACTAGGAAGATCATGTAGCTTATTATACAAACATAAACATAATAGTTAGAAAAATACAGAACACTCAACAAACTAACATGGCTGATAACATGGCTTTCTGTAGCTTATATTGTCTAAAAGCAAAATAATTATCCCACATGCTACACAAAATATCATGTGAAACTACAAATGTCTAAAATATGTGTGAGACGGAAGTGTATATCTCCTATCCAGCATTTAGTCATCCGTTTTTGGTCACTGCTTTAAAAAGCACGTTGTCTATAGCTTTAGCTCTTTAGCTGAGTTATGGCGTTAGTTATCATCTGGTGCCTTTGTGATGTTTTTCATTTGGTGTAACAGCTGCAAACAACTCTAAAGTTGTGCTTTGCTGTTGCTAGCAACTAGATCAGGGGCCTGTTTCAGAAAGGAGGTTAACTGAAAACTCAGAGTATTTTAACCCTGAAATGAGAGAAACTCTGGGTTTTCCGTTTCAAAATGGCAGGTTTGTTAAACTCAAGAAAGCAGGGTAAGTCAAGCCTGTTTCTGAAAGAGAGGTAACTTTAACTCAAGAGTCAGTTACTGTGGTAACTTACTCTGTGAATCTAACCTGGTCAGAAGCAGGTTTAATTCTCTAAACTCAGAGTTTCTGTCTGTCTCCTCCCCTTTTTTAAAGACGAAGCGGTATTTCTCGCCTTAGCCTTACGTTTCCACCCACCTATTTTAATGCTCATTTTAGATACGTGCATAAAAACGATTGATAGAAACGTCATGATGCACATAACTTTTTAAAATATGTATAAAAGACGCGCATAACTGAGTAGGATAAACTTTTATTCGATAGAAAATGTGCGCATAAACTACGATGGAAACACTTTTACTGAACAAATTACAGTATGTACATTAAAAAAAGATCATGATCATATGATGATGAAAATGTGTGTAAATGGACAAACAGCAGGCTGAGCACACTGTAACATGTCTTAAATATTGTTTTAGTCATTCTAAAATGCCTTAACTGTTTCAGTATTAGTGTATATTATTAATTACCTCCGAACGTCTGGTGCGTGTCAAGAGTCTCCGCGTCTCATGGCTTCAGACGCCCCCCACGTGTTCATTGTGTTTCAGCATTGTCTTCTGACATCGAGGCGCAAGTACATTAATTAGGCTAAATAAAGAATTAATTGACGCAGCTTCTTCTACCACAGTAAATTCTGTTTTTACTTTTGATATTTGGTGCCAGTTTAATCAGGAAGTGACCATTTTTTTCTCTTTGACTCGTTGGATGGAATTTTATTCGCATCTTCTATGCAATATTCCAGTTTTGCACATAAATTTATGTAATATATTTGGATAGAAAATAGCTATTGCCTACATTTTAGTCACACACAGAAGAACTGTACTAGAATGGCTTATCCTTTTTTAATAATTAAATTAAATTCACCTTCGACATGCATGTAACTAGATTAATGGGATTATTATTCTTTCTAAAAATTATTTTTAGTACTGCTTACCTTCTAAATGTTATATTAACCTCTATCACTTGATCAATAAAAAAGGCAGACACAAGTGCACTGTTAAATCATTTAAAACTAATAAATGTATAAAAAAGTTTAGAAAAAAAATATATAAACGTCACAAATTACATTACTTATTTTATTATACTTAAATATTTAAATACTTAAAAAGTGAAATTAGGCATTAACTTGAGCAGCTGTTTTCCCACGCTAACTGTCTCTTCTTCACTGATGGTTGTTTTTTTCAAATATATACGCTCATATTTGCTATAACTTTGCATGAGCACATCAAGTTCAGCTGGAGAAAGAAATGGTGATCTCTTTTATAACATATTGCCATAGTCACTCGTAATGTCTGCGCTCCATTGATAATGCCTTTTTAAAGTCACGGTGTGCGCGCTTAACTCTGAGTTGGTCTACTCCAAGTTGATTGACCCAACTCAGATCAGCTGTTCTGAAACCGAAAACTCAGAGTTTTTAATCTCTCGGTAAATCAACTCAGAGTTCAAGTTTAAACTCTGAGTTGTTTGAACCTCCTTACTGAAACAGGCCCTAGGTGTCACTGGCAATACTTTCAGTTGAATGTTTACCAACACACTCCTCATAAAGCCGCCTGTAGTGCATTGTTAGGTGCTAGTTGTTGTATTTCCTCGTGCTGTGGCAATAATTCTGCAACAGCTTTTACAAATTACTTGTTTTTGTTCGGTCTGTGGCTGAAACCAATATATTCCTATATGACAGACGTGCTGTTTTTCTTCTATATTAATTTGTCCATTAATGCTTCTGAAGTCATCATCCTACTTGTCCGCGCTTTCCTGTTGCTTTTTTATTTCTTATTATTGTTTTCCGCATAATTCGGTTGCACAATTCTGATTGGGCAGAACAAAAGTGTGCTCACTCAATTGGATGGTAAGGCTGTCACACACAGACAGCAGTCACAAATTTGCTTTGAGTGGGGGAAATTAAATTATATATATATATATAT